GAAGCTTCAGGTCATCTTCCATTTCAGCAGAAGTTGGTTTCCACAGAAGATGGGCGCTTTTCCTGCTCATCTTATTTGTAGCGGCGCCATCTGGTGTTGGGATTGCAGAATGACAGGCAGCTGTCTGCTTGCTTCCAGTCTCATCAGCTGCAGCTCATTACAGAGATGCTGATGAGGTGACTGGTTTGCAGGTGTGATGTCTGGATGTGTTATCTGCTGGTGGAACTGCTTCCTTCTGACTTCCAGTGAGGTAAACAGATGTTTCCTTTAGTTTTTAACCTGCTGTAGTTTAGCGTTGCTGGTTCTTGTTTGTCTTTCATTCATCTGAAGACGATGAAATGTCCAACAGCTGATTAATCCCTCAGGTGTGTGCATGTGCAAATGTGCTGCTTTTCTGATTTTGAATAATAGTTTGACTTAAAGTTCCAAATGATGCCATCAGAACAGGAAATTAGTTGCTCATATAAAATCTATGTTTGCTAAATGTTTTTTCTGAAACAAGCTGATTATCCTTTTTTTCCTCCTGTGTTTTCAGCTTGAAGTACTGAAGTTTTCTGGACCAGGTTCTGCTCGTCATCGGGTCCAGCAGGGCTGTCTAACTCGCCCCCCCACCCCTCCAGTGTTACCATGGCAGCCGTTAACAGAGCAGCTCATCCAGAGCCAGTAGGCAGGAACCCAAATGGAGGCGCTCCGTCTTCGGGGCAGCATGAACCGGGTCCACTCGGTGCAGCTCAGGAACCAGGATTTCCTTCACATCCCCAACATCCCATGTTTGGCCGTCCTGTCGTCTATGTGCCCCCCCCGCCCCCTCCTTTATTCCACTACCCGTGGTCTATGCCCTTCTCCTACAGCCCCTTTGCTGGGTTTCCAGGACTGGGTAAGTTCTGCTGTGATCAGAGGTTAGACTCGTCTTCTCCTGATTAACTCCATTTTGTCTCCTAGGCTATGGTATGATTGTCCCTCCGCCCCCATTCCCCCCTCCCCCTTACATGGATGGTGGGGGATATATTTTACCACCCCCCGCTGTTCACCCGGTGGACTACAGGCGTCTGCCCCACCCCCTGGCTCACACTCAAGGTCCATCACATCCAAACCCAGTTCAGACACGCAGGATTCGCCCCACTCACGTCCTCCCTGTGAGAGAAATGGTGAATTCTGAGGTCCAGACAGAGCCAGTGCATGGCGTCAGAGGTAGCTTTCATTTGGGCTCAGACTCTGGGAGGGGAACCTGTTCGAACTCTCCTGAGGGGGGGGAGGGCAAGTCGCCCTACAGAGAAGGCACAGAACTCACAGACCCAACGGGCTTTCCAAAACAACCTGTTGGATCAAATGCTAGTCAGCAATGTGGTAGCACTGGGCCAGAGCGGCCCAGGAAGGACGTACCTGACCAGGACCACCTCCCAGACTCGTTCTCCAAAGATGGGGATCTATGGTTATCCAGTTCTCCAGTCAGGGCAGCTCCAGTCTCAAGCTCCTCTCAGAAAGACGATGTTTTCCTCAAAGAACGGCCGGTCGTTCCTGACACCCTGATGAACTGGGGTGGCGGCACGCCACAGACGCACCTGCTGAAAAAAAACGGGTCTGACAAGCAGCCATCTCCTAAACATGACGTCCAGCCGCCATCCTGTGGTTCCACAGATACCAATGAGGTAGGCACTGGTCCTACTGGGGGTACGGAGAGTCAGAAGGTGAGTGAGGGGCTCTTCAGGATCCTTCGACTCCCTCATTCTACAATAGACGCCTTTCTGGAGTCTACGAGTAACGACCCTGGAGAAGAAGGTTTTCTACGAAGACATTCGTTGACCTTCAGAGATGAGGTCAAACATCTACAGAACTCCTCCCACAACGTCTCGACTGAGGTGCAAGAAACGGATGCTGGGTCGTATCTGCAGGAGCTCTCGGATGTGGCCGTGTCGGCCGGCAGCTGTAAGCTGAACGTGTCCGTTTGGTCGGTAGAGTCGCTGCCTCCCTACATCCCTTCCAGAGAGTGGCTCCTGCAGAGTGGCGTGCTGGGACCGGACGTCTGTGAAATGACTGAGGAAGGCCTCTGCAGCAGGAAGGACCTCCTGGAGGGGAAGGTCTGCTCATCTTTTAACATGTGTTCCAGCATCCAGGAGAAGGAGCAAAGTCCTGGCAGGGAGAAGAGGACGGGACCTGAAGAAGAGGTCCATGAACCTGTCGGGTCAGAACCCAGTCGGAGCGAGACTCCCTCAGAAAATGATGCCTGCTCGTCTTCCTGCGGCCCGCTGGCTGAAGCTCCGCCTGCTCCCGCCGGGAAGGATGGAGATGAAAAGAGGTCTTCTGAACCTGAGGCCGGTTGCAGCCCAAACCAGCAGAACAGCCTTCCCTCCTCTGAAGAACTAAGTTCTGCATCAGAGACGCCCGCCCCATCAGCCGTCCAGCTGACCTCCCAGTCTGGGGCGGACACTGAGGACACCGCTCCGACCATGCTCCAAAACACCGAAGCTTTGCCATCCAAGGGGGCGCTGGTGGACTGTGGGGTCCAGTGCAATGAATACGACAGCAGGTGTTTCTGTAAGGAGTTGCTAACGGGCATGGAAACCAACCACAGACATCCTCACAGATTCACAGGTGGAGATCTGCAACCTTTCCTTCCCAGGAAAATGGTTTCTTTTTTAAACACCTGCTTTTCTTTTAGATATCAGGAGAACAAACGATGGCAGAAATGGACACGCAAAGAAGAAGAACTGGAGGAGCTCGGCTCAAGGTAAGGACTCTTCTTTCCCCCTTTTAATCCAGGAAACCTGGATCTGAGCTGAACCCAGACAGAAACCTTGGATGGACCCTTCCTGCTTAGCCCGGTTCCTTTTGGAGAGATGTCTGAAGAAGACACTTGCTTTGTGACCCTTCGGCCCCCAGAACCATCTGCAACCACCAGTCTCTGGGTTAAATGGCGTAAATGTGCTGTTGGTGACGCGTTGTCCTGTAGAGCGGATGAGGTTTGGTTTGTCCTGTACTGCTGTTCTCTGTTCCTGCAGATCGGCAGTCTACCCAGCAGGATGCTCACAGTGGACACTGCGGAGAAGGGAAACCAAAAGGTGAAGGTTCTTCTCTCTGGACGGTTTGGGACGGTTTGACCTCTAGTTTAACAGTTTGCTTTTTGCAGGAGGAAGAAACCTCCGACATCACTGACTCGCTTCAAGACAGCAGCCAGTTTTAAAAGAACCAAACCTCATGGAACCTGTTTGTACAATTTTTGAATGTGTGTTTTCTAAGTATAAATTAAATAAAAGTTTAATCTTTCCAGTGGATGCTTTTGTCATTCTAAAGTAGAGCGGTACATCTCTGAATGAGAATAACGGCTAATATCACATCTTCTGTAGATGATCAACACAGAAGAGTTTCTGTTCAAAGTCGTAGGGAAATCGTATTTAAAGATCAAATCATTCTGGCTTAAACATGAATATAAATCTACTCTTTAAAAGAACATATTGTCCCAAAAGTTAGTAAAGCGTGTATTAAAATCTGTGTTTTTTTTCGTTCTGCAGGCCAGTTAGTTCTACCTCAGCCTGAACACCTAAATTCGGCCAATCATATATCAACGCTCATCTGTCAATCACATTTTTTCGGTCATAGCAGAAGCTGGTTCTCGGTTCCAGCACAGGTGGACCCAGTGCAGTGGAAGACATTCACTGAAAATGGAAAAAGGCAAACGGGCATTTTAAAGCCAGGCAGCACAGCTGCTGTGATGTTGTAAAATTAACATTTTCTTGCTTTAAACTATTTTGTAACTTTACTGGAAAAAAATATTCCCATAGATTGACATAAAACAGGTTTGCTGCTGTCTGTTTGGACCTTTCTGAACATGTGCAGCAAATGGACTGATCCAATATGGTGGACACTGAAGGGGGGGGACACAATATAAGTGTTCTGATGGCATTTTAAGAAAAGATTATCAAAAACATAATGTGCACAAATAAGGAATAGTTGTATTAATCAAGTGTCCAAAGGTTACATTTAGGAATCATTTAGATCAGGAGTCAGAAACCCGAACTGCTCAAAGAGCCATATTAGGCCAAAAAAAAACATAATAAATCTGTCTGGAGATGCGAAAATGTAAAAGTCTTCTGTCAACCCGGGCTCTGAGTGTTTTATCCCACTACAGAATAAGCATTTATTCTAACCCAGCCTCAGCAGATGGCCGCTCACACTGAGCCTGGTTCTGCTGGAGGTTTCTTCCTGTTCAAAGGGAGTTTTTCCTCTCCACTGTCGCTACAAGCATGCTTAGTGTGAGGGATTGCTGAAGAGTCAATGAGTCGATGCAATCAGCTGGTTTTCCTTAGATAGAAAACTTTGAATCAATCTGACTGGATGATCTGGTGAACTGGAAAGTGACCTGAGATGACATGATGTGAATTGGAGCCATAGAAATAAACAGAAGTGTGACAGAAAATAATTGGATGGATGGATATTGTGAATTTATCTTTTTCTTTATCAGAAGTGTGTTTAAACTTTCAAGCAGAACTGTACATATTTAGCTTGTTAAATATGATCCATTTTAGGAAGTCCAAAGAGGGAGAGGTTTGCAATGGGAAGGAGAGGAGCGAGGTGTCAGGTCAGGAAAAGCCAGGTAGGTTTCCTTACAGCTTGTCCACAAAGACAAAAACACAGAAAGGCAAAAAACAAACGTCAGAGATAAGACGTTTTAAAAATGTCTGACTGTAGAAACAGTGAAATGTATTTTTCCCTGGGTGCTCAGCCCCCTTGAACCTCTGATCCTAGAAGCGCCTGCAGCAGCCATTCTGGATCATCTGATCCACAGATGCTCCTCAGCCTGAATAAAGACCCACTGACAGGAAGAAACATGGAAGATTGATCAGTGATGACATTTGTTCTTAGTTTTATTTAAAAAACAGACTAAAACTTCAGAAAAGGCGGAGAGTTACAGTAATATGCAGTAGGGGGCGCTGTGCGCATGAGGCTGCGATTCGCCAAGAAGAAGAAGAAGCAACAGAAGCAGAAGAAGAAGAAGATAAAGGAGAAGCAACAACAACAGCAACAGCAGCAGAAGGTGAAGCAGCAGAAGGTGAAGCAGGCTTTAGTTGCTGCAGAGATCAGCTTCCTACTACTTTCTGCGCTTAGCTTAGCCGTTAGCTTAGAATAGCACTGACAGGCCGGAAGCCTGTCTCAGCTGTCAGCTGCTTACTTCCGGGTTCTTGACCCAGCTCAGGCTAACCTCCCCTCCTTCTTTCTCCTCCTGGAGCAGCATGGAGGAGACCAGCAGGGAGGCTGTAGCCACCGCGGTGCAGCGGGTGGCCGGCATGCTGCAGCGGTCCGACCAGCTGGATAAGGTGGAGCAGTACCGGAGGAGAGAAGCCCGGAAGAAGGCGTCTGTGGAGGCCAGGCTGAAGGTATCCATCCGAACCCAGCTCCACCCGCTAACAGCACCCATCACCTGGGGGGGCAGCTCCACCCGCTAACAGCGTCCATCACCTGGGGGGCAGAAGTGATTGGCTGCAGACAGACTGGAGCTCAGAGCTGCAGAGACGATCTCAGCTTTATTCAGCTAATTGACTGAATTATGAAAGTTCCTGAAGGCTGAGAATTTAAAGAGAGGTTAAAGTCCGGTAGGAACCAGGGAGGTTAAAGTCCGGTAGGAACCAGGGAGGTAAACGTCCGGTAGGAACCAGGAAGGTTAAAGTCCGCTAGGAACCAGGGAGGTTAACATCCGATAGGAACCAGGGAGGTTAAAGTCCGGTAGGAACCAGGGAGGTAAACGTCCGGTAGGAACCAGGAAGGTTAAAGTCCGCTAGGAACCAGGGAGGTTAACATCCGATAGGAACCAGGGAGGTTAAAGTCCGGTAGGAACCAGGGAGGTTAACATCCGATAGGAACCAGGAAGGTTAAAGTCCGCTAGGAACCAGGGAGGTTAACATCCGATAGGAACCAGGAAGGTTAAAGTCCGGTAGGAACCAGGGAGGTAAACGTCCGGTAGGAACCAGGGAGGTTAAAGTCCGCTAGGAACCAGGGAGGTTAACATCCGATAGGAACCAGGGAGGTTAAAGTCCGCTAGGAACCAGGGAGGTTAAAGTCCGCTAGGAACCAGGGAGGTTAAAGTCCGCTAGGAACCAGGGAGGTTAAAGTCCGGTAGGAACCAGGGAGGTTAAAGTCCGGTAGGAACCAGGGAGGTAAACGTCCGGTAGGAACCAGGAAGGTTAAAGTCCGCTAGGAACCAGGGAGGTTAACGTCCGATAGGAACCAGGGAGGTTAAAGTCCGGTAGGAACCAGGGAGGTAAACGTCCGGTAGGAACCAGGAAGGTTAAAGTCCGCTAGGAACCAGGGAGGTTAAAGTCCGCTAGGAACCAGGGAGGTTAAAGTCCGGTAGGAACCAGGGAGGTAAACGTCCGGTAGGAACCAGGAAGGTTAAAGTCCGCTAGGAACCAGGGAGGTTAACGTCCGATAGGAACCAGGGAGGTTAACGTCCGATAGGAACCAGGGAGGTTAACGTCCGATAGGAACCAGGGAGGTTAACGTCCGATAGGAACCAGGGAGGTTAACGTCCAGTAGGAACCTGGGCGGTTAACGTCCAGTAGGAACCTGGGCGGTTAACGTCCGGCAGGAACCTGGGAGGATAAAGTCCGGCAGGAACCTGGGAGGTTAAAGTCCGGCAGGAACCTGGGAGGTTAAAGTCCGGCAGGAACCTGGGAGGTTAAAGTCCGGCAGGAACCTGGGAGGTTAAAGTCCGGCAGGAACCTGGGAGGTTAAAGTCCGGCAGGAACCAGGGAGGTTAACGTCCGATAGGAACCAGGGAGGTAAACGTCCGATAGGAACCAGGAAGGTGAAAGTCCGGTAGGAACCAGGAAGGTGAAAGTCCGGTAGGAACCAGGGAGGTAAACGTCCGGTAGGAACCAGGGAGGTTAAAGTCCGCTAGGAACCAGGGAGGTAAACGTCCGATAGGAACCAGGGAGGTAAACGTCCGATAGGAACCAGGAAGGTGAAAGTCCGGTAGGAACCAGGGAGGTTAAAGTCCAGTAGGAACCAGGGAGGTTAAAGTCCGGTAGGAACCAGGGAGGTTAAAGTCCGGTAGGAACCAGGGAGGTTAAAGTCCGGTAGGAACCAGGGAGGTTAAAGTCCGGTAGGAACCAGGGAGGTAAACGTCCGGTAGGAACCAGGGAGGTTAAAGTCCGCTGGGAACCAGGGAGGTAAACGTCCGATAGGAACCAGGGAGGTAAACGTCCGATAGGAACCAGGAAGGTGAAAGTCCGGTAGGAACCAGGGAGGTAAACGTCCGGTAGGAACCAGGGAGGTTAAAGTCCGCTAGGAACCAGGGAGGTTAACGTCCGGTAGGAACCAGGGAGGTTAAAGTCCGGTAGGAACCAGGGAGGTTAAAGTCCGGTAGGAACCAGGGAGGTTAACGTCCGGCACTTTTCAGTAGAATAGAAGGTGCAGATCTGGATGAGCTGACACCGAAATATCTATACAATGTAATATGGAAGCTGGATCAGTTTTCTATATGTAGATTCAATGTGGTTTATTTTTATATTTCTAAGCAGAATGATGAAAAAGGGGTCCCTATGTCCTCCAGCAGTCTAAGCCTATAGCAGCAGAACTATAGAGATAGCTCAGGATAACCTGAGCCACTCTAACTAGAAGCTTTATCAAAAAGGAAAGTTTTAAGCCTAGCCTTAAAAGTAGACAGGGTGTCTGCCTCACGGACTAAAACTGGTAGTTGGTTCCACAGGAGAGGAGCCTGATAACTAAAGCCCAGCGTACACTGTGCGATTTTCGGGGCGATTTTCTAGTTGTGCGAGAATTTTCCGATCAGCCCGACTTTCAGCCTGATGGTGCATGTTGTGGTGCACAGCGGGTTATGAGGGGCGATCAGCCCCGATAAGGAATCATGATCAAACATGTTTGATTTTCTCCCGACCGTTGTGATAACTCAGGGCGCATGAGCAAAGGAGGATTCTTCTGGAAACCCAGCAGCATGGTGGGGGGGCAATGAGTGAAATGGAGTTCTTTCTGTCAAACTGACAGACCGTAGTAGCCACGTTAGCTCAGCCATGTCTTTGTCCAAATACGTCGTCTCCTTTTCTTTTTAGGGCTTTCAGCACAAATCGCCCAAATATCCAAGGCAGCGCGTTTCACTCTAGTGAGCTTCATGTTCCTCTGCTACTGGTTTGGCTTCAGGATAGACGAGTCCCAGTAGCTCCATCTCACTGCGGAGCTGAGTCCCACCTGGTTTTTAGACGTACAGTGTGAGCAGCAGCTGCGTGCAACAACTGATCTGCCTCCCATTCTACTTTAGAAATTCTAGGAACCACCATAGGTTTCCTAATCTCCATGGATTCAAGATTGTGGATCTGGAATAATCTGCAGCTTGAGGCTGCTTCCATGGTGTATAATCTATAAATCCTATCTCTATGTTTCCCTCAGAGTTGTTCAGGCCTTTAGCTTCTCATCTGTGATGACCCGGGATGATGAAGGTCCAGCAGGTCGGGTCCCTCAGGGGCAGAACTGGCCCTGCTGTGAGAGGAAACAGGAAGTCACTGCTCCTCCTGTTTCCATGGTGAAGACGGCCGATGCTGGTCCCAGTCCAGTGGACTAACTGGTTGCTTCTGTGTTTGCTGGTGTTCAGGCGGCGATCCAGTCCCAGCTGGACGGCGTGCGCACCGGGCTCACCCAGCTCCACACCGCTCTGCTGGACGTGAAGGACATCCAGAGCTCCCTGGCCAACGTCAGCAAAGACTGGAGACAGAGCATCAACACCATCGAGAGCCTGAAGGACGTGAAGGACGCCGTGGTCCAGCACAGCCAGCTGGCCGCCGCCGTGGAGAACCTGAAGAACATCTTCTCTGGTGGGTTCGCCGTTCCATCGGAATCGGCGGGCCGTTTGGACCCAGCTAACGTTGTGTGGTTGTGGATTCAGTCCCAGAGATCGTCATGGAGACCCAGCAGCTGATCGAGCAGGGCCAGCTGCTGCAGGCCCACAGGAAGCTGATGGAGCTGGAGTGTTCCCGTGACGACCTGATGTACGAGCAGTACCGCATGGACAGCAGGAACACCCGCGACATGAACCTCATCTCCTCCTACTTTGAAGAGGTCAGTCAGTTCAGCCGCCGTGCTCCTCCTCCCAGCCTGGATCAGGAGGAGCAGCGGTGGCCTCCTCCTCCCAGCCTGGATCAGGAGCAGCGGTGGCCTCCTCCTCCTCCTCCTCCTCCCAGCCTGTATCAGGAGGAGCAGCAGTGGGACATGTAGCTGAACGCTGCGCCTCCTCTCTGGTCCTCCCAGGTGCAGGGCCTGTCAGACGAGCTGGCCAAGCAGCTGTGGATGGTGCTGCAGAGGTCCATGGTGACGGTGCGCAGAGACCCCACCATGCTGGTGTCTGTGATCCGCATCATCGAGCGAGAGGAGAAGCTGGACCGCCGGATGGTGGACAGGAAGAAGCAGACGGGCTTCATCCCCCCGGGACGACCCAAACGCTGGAAGGACAAGATGTTTCAGGTCCTCCCTTACCTTCCTTCCTTTTCCTCCCTTCTTTCCTCCCTTCCTTTTTTCCTTCCTTCCTTCCTTCCTTCCTTCCTTCCTTCCTTCCTTCCTTCCTTCCTTCCTTCCTTCCTTTTTTCCTTCCTTCCTTCCCCTCCCTTCCTTCCTTCCTTCCTTTTTTCCTTCCTTCCTTCCCCTCCCTTCCTTCCTTCCTTCCTTTTTCCCTTCCTTCCTTCCTTACTTCCTTCCTTCCCCTCCCTTCCTCCCTTCCTTTTTTTCTTCCTTCCTTTTTTCCCTTCCTTCCTTCCTTCCTTCCTTTTTTTTCTTCCTTCCTTTTTTTTCTTCCTTCCTTCCTTCCTTTTTTTTCTTCCTTCCTTCCTTCCTTCCTTCCTTCCTTCCTTCCTTCCTTCCTTCCTTCCTTCCTTCCTTTTTTCCTTCCTTCCTTCCCCTCCCTTCCTCCCTCCTTCCCTTCCTTCCTTCCTCCCTTCCTTTTTTTTCTTCCTTCCTTCCTTCCTTCCTTCCTTCCTTCCTTCCTTCCTTCCTTCCTTCCTCCCTCCTTCCTTCCTTCCTTCCTTTTTTTTCTTCCTTCCTTTTTTCCCTTCCTTCCTTCCTTACTTCCTTCCTTCCCCTCCCTTCCTCCCTTCCTTTTTTTCTTCCTTCCTTTTTTCCCTTCCTTCCTTCCTTCCTTTTTTTTCTTCCTTCCTTCCTTCCTTCCTTCCTCTCTCCTTCCTTCCATTTTTTTCTTCCTTCCTTTTCCTCCCTTCCTTTTTTTTCTTCCTTCCTTCCTTCCTTCCTTCCTTCCTTTTTTCCTTGCTTCCTTCCTCCCTCCTTCCTTCCTTCCTTCCTTCCTTCCTTCCTTCCCCTCCCTTCCTCCCCCCTTTCCTTCCTCCCTTCCTTTTTTTTCTTCCTTCCTTTTTTCCCTTCCTTCCTTCCTTCCTTTTTTTTCTTCCTTCCTTCCTTCCTCCCTCCTTCCTTCCTTCCTTTTTTTTCTTCCTTCCTTTTTTCCCTCCCTTCCTTCCTTCCTTCCTTCCTTCCCCTCCCTTCCTCCCCCCTTTCCTTCCTCCCTTCCTTTTTTTCTTCCTTCCTTCCTTTTTTTTCTTCCTTCCTTATCCTTCCTTCCTTCCTTCCTTCCTTTTTTCCTTGCTTCCTTCCTTCCTCCCTCCTTCCTTCCTTCCTCTACCTTCCTCCCCCCTTTCCTTCCTCCCTTCCTTTTTTTCTTCCTTCCTTTTTTCCCTTCCTTCCTTCCTTCCTTTTCTTCCTTCCTTTTTTTCCTTCCTTCCTTCCTTACTTCCTTCCTTCCCCTCCCTTCCTCCCCCCTTTCCTTCCTCCCTTCCTTTTTTTTCTTCCTCCCTTTTTTCCCTTCCTTCCTTCCTTCCTTCCTTCCTTTTCTTCCTTCCTTTTTTTCCTTCCTTCCTTCCTTACTTCCTTCCTTCCCCTCCCTTCCTCCCCCTTTCCTTCCTCCCTTCCTTTTTTTTCTTCCTTCCTTTTTTCCCTTCCTTCCTTCCTTCCTTCCTTTTTTTTCTTCCTTCCTTCCTTCCTTCCTTCCTCCCTCCTTCCTTCCTTCCTTCCTTCCTTTTTTTCTTCCTTCCTTTTCCTCCCTTCCTTTTTTTTCTTCCTTTCTTCCTTCCTTTTTTCCTTGCTTCCTTCCTCCCTCCCTCCTTCCTTCCTTTTCCTTCCTTCCTTCCTTCCTTCCTTCCTTCCTTCCTTCCGTCCTTCCTTTTTTCCCCCTTTCCTTCCTCCCTTCCCTTTTTTTCTTCCTTCTTTTTTTTTCTTTCTTCCTTCTTTTTTTTTCTTCCTTCCTTCCTTCCTTCCTTCCTTCCTTCCTTCCTTCCTTCCTTCCTTCCTTCCTTCCTTCCTTCCTTCCTTCCTTTTTTTTTTCTTCCTTCCTTCCTTCCTTCCTTCCTTCCTTTTTTTTCTTCCTTCCTCTTCCTTCCTCCCTTCCTTGCTTCCTTCCTTCCTTCCTACCTTCCTTTCTTTCCCTCCTTCCTTCCTTCCTCCCTTCCTCCTTCCCTTCCTCCCTCCCTCCTTCCAGTCTAACTGATCAACAGAACCAGAGGTCTCGGGGTTCTAGGACCTCTCCTTCCTCTGGTTCTGAGGAACCTTCTGGGTTCCCTCCCCCTCAGACCGTCTGACTCCTCCCCATGTTGGCGTCAGCCTCATTGAGACCCCCCCACCCCCCCCCCCCCCCTCAGGTTCTGGAGGGAACCGTCAGCACCCGCATCGAGGGCACCCAGTCTGTGACCAGAGAGGCTGATAAGATGTGGCTCGTCCGTCTGCTGGAGATCACCAGGAAGTACGTTCTGGACGACCTGATTGTTGTGAAGAACCTGATGGTTCAGTGCTTCCCCCCCCACTACAACACCTTCAACAGGTGAGGGCCTCCAGCCCAGAACACGCGGCCCCTGCTGGAGCCGCTTCCTGTAACCTTCTCCTTCTCCAGGTTCTTCAGCCTCTACCATCACGCCGTGTCCAGCCGTGTGAAGGAGCTGACCTTGGAGGACCTGGAAGCCAATGAAATTGTGTCCCTGCTAACCTGGGTCCTCAACACCTATAAGAGGTGAGTGGACCCCCCCCCCCGCAGCGAGCAGGTCGCCGTGGTAACGCGCTCTGACTCTGTGTCCTCCACAGCAATGAGATGATGGGACATCCGGACCTCTGCTCAGAGTTCGACATCAACCAGCTGGAGCCGCTGCTGCCGCAGGAAGTGGTGGACGACCTGCTGAGCAAATACGTGAAGACGTTCACGGTAAAGATGGCCGACGGCGAGGAGGGTCCGATTAGCCCGAGGACTAAACCGTGTTCAGGACCGAAAGCTTCGTTATCCTTTCTGAGGCCAGGCCGGGTTTCTGAGGGACGGGTCTGAAAATATCCCCACTTATGCTGACACCTGCTGGTGGCTGACGGCTACTGCAGTCCCAGAGACCTGATTTATCTCATGGTGACACCTGCTGGTGGCTGACGGCTACTGCAGTCCCAGAGACCTGATTTATCTCATGGTGACACCTGCTGGTGGCTGACGGCTACTGCAGTCCCAGAAACCTGATTTATCTCATGCTGACACCTGCTGGTGGCTGACGGCTACTGCAGTCCCAGAAACCTGATTTATCTCATGGTGACACCTGCTGGTGGCTGACGGCTACTGCAGTCCCAGAGACCTGATTTATCTCATGCTGACACCTGCTGGTGGCTGACGGCTACTGCAGTCCCAGAAACCTGATTTATCTCATGCTGACACCTGCTGGTGGCTGACGGCTACTGCAGTCCCAGAAACCTGATTTATCTCATGCTGACACCTGCTGGTGGCTGACGGCTACTGCAGTCCCAGAGACCTGATTTATCTCATGGTGACACCTGCTGGTGGCTGACGGCTACTGCAGTCCCAGAAACCTGATTTATCTCATGCTGACACCTGCTGGTGGCTGACGGCTACTGCAGTCCCAGAAACCTGATTTATCTCATGCTGACACCTGCTGGTGGCTGACGGCTACTGCAGTCCCAGAGACCTGATTTATCTCATGCTGACACCTGCTGGTGGCTGACGGCTACTGCAGTCCCAGAGACCTGATTTATCTCATGCTGACACCTGCTGGTGGCTGACGGCTACTGCAGTCCCAGAAACCTGATTTATCTCATGCTGACACCTGCTGGTGGCTGACGGCTACTGCAGTCCCAGAGACCTGATTTATCTCATGGTGACACCTGCTGGTGGCTGACGGCTACTGCAGTCCCAGAAACCTGATTTATCTCATGGTGACACCTGCTGGTGGCTGACGGCTACTGCAGTCCCAGAAACCTGATTTATCTCATGCTGACACCTGCTGGTGGCTGACGGCTACTGCAGTCCCAGAGACCTGATTTATCTCATGCTGACACCTGCTGGTGGCTGACGGCTACTGCAGTCCCAGAGACCTGATTTATCTCATGGTGACACCTGCTGGTGGCTGACGGCTACTGCAGTCCCAGAAACCTGATTTATCTCATGCTGACACCTGCTGGTGGCTGACGGCTACTGCAGTCCCAGAGACCTGATTTATCTCATGCTGACACCTGCTGGTGGCTGACGGCTACTGCAGTCCCAGAAACCTGATTTATCTCATGCTGACACCTGCTGGTGGCTGACGGCTACTGCAGTCCCAGAGACCTGATTTATCTCATGGTGACACCTGCTGGTGGCTGACGGCTACTGCAGTCCCAGAAACCTGATTTATCTCATGGTGACACCTGCTGGTGGCTGACGGCTACTGCAGTCCCAGAAACCTGATTTATCTCATGCTGACACCTGCTGGTGGCTGACGGCTACTGCAGTCCCAGAGACCTGATTTATCTCATGGTGACACCTGCTGGTGGCTGACGGCTACTGCAGTCCCAGAGACCTGATTTATCTCATGCTGACACCTGCTGGTGGCTGACGGCTACTGCAGTCCCAGAAACCTGATTTATCTCATGCTGACACCTGCTGGTGGCTGACGGCTACTGCAGTCCCAGAAACCTGATTTATCTCATGCTGACACCTGCTGGTGGCTGACGGCTACTGCAGTCCCAGAGACCTGATTTATCTCATGGTGACACCTGCTGGTGGCTGACGGCTACTGCAGTCCCAGAGACCTGATTTATCTCATGGTGACACCTGCTGGTGGCTGACGGCTACTGCAGTCCCAGAAACCTGATTTATCTCATGCTGACACCTGCTGGTGGCTGACGGCTACTGCAGTCCCAGAGACCTGATTTATCTCATGGTGACACCTGCTGGTGGCTGACGGCTACTGCAGTCCCAGAGACCTGATTTATCTCATGCTGACACCTGCTGGTGGCTGACGGCTACTGCAGTCCCAGAAACCTGATTTATCTCATGCTGACACCTGCTGGTGGCTGACGGCTACTGCAGTCCCAGAGACCTGATTTATCAGGGCTTCCGCGGTCATTAAAGATCATTATGAGTCTTTAAATAATTATTTTTTAAATTAAGGCCCGAATTGGCATTAAAATTCATTAAATGTGATTTTGACATTTAAAATGCTTTATTAAAAAAAAAAAAGTTTCTAAAAACAATTCTGTCAGGTCCTAAAGCCGCATGAGGTGGAGAAATAGCTGGAGAACGGGAAAATACAAATTTCAACAAACATGGCTGGAAAAAAAGGAATTGCAGCCTGTCGACAGTAAAGATGACGAAGGATTTGCCGCGTAAATATGAGAGTCGTGGGTTCTTGTTGATGGCATTAAAATGATCTCTAAGAGCATTAAATTAGAGCTGCTCATTCCTGTATAAACCTGTTTATTCTTGTTCTAAAGTAGTTAAAGATGATGAAATGTTTTCAGATTAATGGAGTTAGACTTTAAACTATCCTTTCCTGGTTTAGTGTCTCCTCCTCTGTTCAGTTTTAGGTCTGATTAGACTCCTAACTTAAACTCTAGTGATGGTTAAGTCTTGATTCTGTCTGACAGAATACTGCCACCTGCTGGACATTTAAAGACACTACAGGCAGCTGATTGGACAGAATAAACTGAACTGATCTGATGACCTTGAACAATGACAGCATTGAAGTTATTAGAGGTTATATTCTATTATTTTATATATAAAGAAAATCATCAATCAGTAAAGGAGACATTTTTCATTATATTCTGTTACTTTAAACAGAATTTAACACTAAAATAAAATGAGCCGGACGCTCCGGAGGGCTTTACCGTATTAACAGGAGAAGAGGCGCCAGTTAAATTAGACTCTGCTGTCGGAAAACATGCAGTACCGTAATTTATAAATGTTTTAAATCAGGTTGGTCCCGATTAGCCAGCAGGTGGGTCCGGATCCGGACCGCAGTCCGATAATCCGTGACCTCTGGTCTATGGGCTCCACGCCTGCACCGACTCACCGCTGTTAATGGATCCATCACTAATAAACGTCTCCTGAGGCCCACCTCCCTGTGAGCCGCAGGACTTGCTGTTGTTCCTATCAGTAGATCCCAGCTCATCTATCTATTTCTGTCTCTCCAGTCTAATATAACCGGTTGGCTGCGGAAAGCCTTGGAGACCGATAAGAAAGACTGGATGAAAGAAACGGAGCCTGAGGCGGACCAAGATGGATACTACCAGACCACGCTGCCAGCCATCGTCTTTCAGGTAACCTGGACTCATCCCAGGGACAGATCCTGGTTTTACCTTCTGTGGGAGGAGCCTGTTGCCTTGGTAACGGGCTGTTGTATGAGGAGAAACAATAAGACCTTCTGCTCTGATGTCATTGGTTCAGCAAATCAAACTACAGCTGTCAGCATCCATAGCCTGATAGCAGAGGGGATGGGTGACCTGGACCTGGTTTTGTTAAGGACCTGATGATGATGACTCAGATCTTTCTGTTCAGATCCAATAATCTATTCAGTTTATTTCTATAGCTCCAATCAGAGATGGGGACTCGAGTTTGTGACTCGTACTCGAGTCGCACTTAAGTCGCATATTTAATGACTTCAGACTCGACTTAGACTTGCATTTAAAGGACTTCAGACTCGACTGAGACTCGTGATTTCCGACTTGTGAACAATATTTTATTCCAGTGTAAAAACACTTATTCAAGTGTTTTTTGTTCTACTAACTTGACTGATCGACGCTCGCCTTACCCGCACATAGAAGAAAACTCAAAGACCCAAACCGTGAAGCACTCAAGTTCAAGTGTTTTATTTATAGAAAAAGCCACAGCAAAAGTGGCATAATAAAACAGTCCTTTTCTTCTCCTGATAAAACCTAAAATTCAAGAGTTTTCCTTAAAAATCAGAGGCTGGAAGTTGGGCTCCGCTTGTTATGCTGCTTCTGGTGCGACTGATCGGCCTGGAGCACCCACTGGCTGATCCACAGACTCTGCGGCGCTCCGGCACTGTTCCACTCCCTGGCGTGCCAAACCCCTTTCCAGACCGATCCAGCTAAAAAGAGAAGCAAGGAGAACGCCAGCATCCACGCGCCAAAACCCCGTCGGAAGATATATTCCTGTTTATGCTTTAAGCGAGGGGGAGGGCTACTTACAGGCGAGGTTCCTCCTCTGCCCTAATACTCCTTACTGGGCCATCAGTGCGCATGGATCCCGCCTGCCTCTCCCCCAGCAGCGCGTCCGTCTCTGTCACCTGCAGATTCCGTTCTCCTTCTCCTTTCCTTCAGACTCCTTTTATGTCGGCTTTAATCAGCCCTTGCTCACACCTGAGCGCAGCAATTACGCAGCGCAATCAATGCACTCCGCCTCCTCAGACAACTACTTCAGTCCAGTGCGCATGGATTGTCACAAGGGAAAAACAAACCAAAACAACCCAACATGCAGGAAAAATTCAAAAGTCTAAAATAAAGGAAAACAATCATATAAAAAAGAAACATCAAAACATGCAAAGCTCAAGAAGAAAATACAAAGAAAAACAAATCATATCTTCCTCTCCAAACATGCAAAGCATAAAACTAACATTAAAATGAAAGAAAACCATAAATCATATTTTTCCCTGTGCAACACACTGACGTCACTGACGCAACAGTACGTGGACGGCAGGATTGTGATTGTTTTTTTTTTTTCCACAGTCCTCATTTTCAATAAAAGAGCAGACATTTACTGCTAAAACTAGAAAAAGTTGTAACCACAAATGTCAGGAAATACTGTAAGAAAATGCAAAATTTATCTGGAAAAAAATTTTGCGTGTGCTTTTTTTAATTGTATTTTTCATTTAGCAGTTCAAGATAATGATAATTCCATAGATATAATAGCGACCTTTAAGCTATACTGTCTCAGTGACGAAGATGAAAACACAAGGAGAAACAAGCAAGCACGAAAATTATTGCACTTTTTTAAATTAATCAAGTGATTAGAATTTTTTGTGCGATTAATTGATTATTGCGACAGGCCTTCTCAAGACTTGAGACTTGACTTGGACTTGCAAAAAATGACTTGTGAACATGTCTGGCTCCAATTCCCATCATGTCATCTCAGGTCACTTTCCAGTTCACCAGATCATCCAGTCAGATTGATTCAAAGTTTTCTATCTAAGGAAAACCAGCTGATTGCATCGACTCATTGACTCTTCAGCAATCCCTCACACTAAGCATGCTTGTAGCGACAGTGGAGAGGAAAAACTCCCTTTGAACAGGAAGAAACCTCCAGCAGAACCAGGCTCAGTGTGAGCGGCCATCTGCTGAGGCCCACTGGGGTTCAAGGAGACAGAAGCAGACATAGAAAAAGAAGCATAGATACAAAAGGCAACTGTCAACCAGCTCCACAGGCGGCCCCGTCCAGGAAACACACAGCCAGGCAGACGAGCTCCGAGCCAGCTCCCATGTCAGAGGATGAAGGCTTACACTCCAGCAGTCTAAGCCTATAGCAGCAGAACTATAGAGATAGATCAGGATAACCTGAGCCACTCTAACTATATCTAGCAACAGTTTTCAAAGCCAAAAATTCTAACGATTACAAAGGACGTTGAGCTTCGGTGGATCGCCCTGATGTTGAACAGCAGAAATGGCTGCGGGTGGAGAAAATGCCGCGCCTAAGACGCTAGTTGAGCCCACAGACTGACCTGTCCTCCTTGGATCTTCATCAGATGTTTGAGCAGAACCTGCAGGTGGCGGCCCAGATCAACGGCGACTTTAAGGAGGAGGTTCTGAAGCTGTGTCTGAAGCAGATGAACTCCTTCCTCATGAGGTAATCCTTCCAGCACCCTGACCGTCTGTCTGCTGATGCAGGAGCGCGGCGCTCACAGCTGTTCCTCGCAGGTACCGCGAGGAGGTGGTGGCCTACAAGGAGGAGCACCTGAAGGACCGACAGCTGCCTCAGTGCTACATCCAGTACATGATCGCCATCATCAACAACTGCCAGACCTTCAGGTGACGCTTCAGGGAGGGTCCGGCAGGGGTCGGGTCCTGCAGGGGGCGTGTCCGGCAGGGGGCGGGTACTAGACGGTTCTCAGAGACGGTTCTAGGTATTCTGTTCAGTCGTTGCTCTGCTCTGCGTTCATCAGGGATTCCATCAACAGTCTAAAGAGGAAGTACTCGCAGTCCTCGAAGTCCTTCGACAGCGATGCCGCCATCGACAGGACCCTGGGGGAGGTGGTGAAGGAGGGCTGCCACTTCCTGCTGGACGAAGTCTTCTTGGACCTGGAGGTAAGACTTGAACTGCAGCAGACTGCAGGCGTCCATTTCCTGCCTGGCTAGCTAGCTGCTAACCTTTGGTTCCACCTAAACCAGAACCACCTGAATGAGCTGCTGACCAGGAAGTGGCTGACGGGTTCTCACGCCGTGGACACCATCTGTGTGACGGTGGAGGACTACTTCAACGACTTCAACAAGGTCAAGAAGCCCTTCAACGAGGTAGGACCGAAGCGTGAGCTCCACCTGCTGGTCAGGAGCTCCACTGAGCGCTGCTGGCGTTGCGTTTGCAGGAGATGACCAACGAGGCGCTGAGGAGGGTTGTGGTGGAGTACCTGAAGGCCGTGATGCAGAAGAGAATCACCTTCAAGAACGCCGACGAGAGGAAAGAGGGAGCAGAGAGGATGATCAAGGAGGCCGAGCAGTTCAGGTTCCTGTTCAACAAACTGGCAGCGGTGAGTTCCTGCAGGGAGCAGGAGGAGGAGGGGCGGGCTGCTGGGGGCGGAGCAGGAGGAGGCGTCTGCAGGGAGGAGGGAACAGGACAGAGGCGGTCTGTAGGTCCCCGCTGATGGCGGCTGCTTCTCTCCTGTAGGGCGAGAACACGGAGCGGCTCTGCGGCGCCATCGCTGCCGTGGCCGAGGTCTTCAAGCTGACTGACCCCACGCTGCTGTTCCTGGAGGTCACGACCCTGGTCTCCAAATACCCAGACATCAGGTGAGCCCAGCGTCCACGCCATCATCAGGTCGGCCTTGAAGCATCCTCCGCTCTGTGATGTAACCTGCTGGTTCTGGTTCTGGTTCTGGTTCTGCAGGGAGGACCACATCCAGGCGCTGCTGGCTGTGCGCGGAGACGCCAGCAGGGAAATGAGGCAGATGATCATCGGGACCCTCAGCGAGAACAAAGTGTCGCCCTCTGGTTCCACTCAGCCCATTTTCAAAGACATTACTGTTCCCACCATCACCATGACAACCATGACCACCATGACCTCCATGGCAACCGCCAAGCTGCTGAAATAAAGCCAGCTTTCTGTGACAAACACATCCCAGTAACTCCCACTGGTTCTGCTGGTTCTTCTGCTCTGGATGGGAACGTTCTGTTCTGGACCAGAACCGCAGAACCTTAGGTGGGTCCAACAAGTTGATGAAATCACTGAACCCACCTGAGAAGATGCTGTTCAGGTTCTCCACGGCAACGGCCAGTTTAACCAGTGGAAGGCTAACATGCCGTTAGCCCCCAGAGGCTAAAATCCTAGCCGGTCCACTCTGACAGGAACAGTCCAGTACTCCCATTAAACCAGTAAGGCCTGAACACTCCCACTGGGTATAGAGAGGCTCTGACTGGGCAGGATCTGCAGATCTACGCTGATGTTTTTCACTTCTATCTGCTTTATCACTACATTACAATAATTTCTCACATTTGACTGGAACAGATTATGAAAAGTTATTAAAAATAAATGAAATAAAAAACTACCGTCTCATTCTATAGAACAAAGCTCTACTTAACGAGTCTGTGCAGCATCTAGAACTAGAACAATCAATCAACTATTTCCATTGAGATTTCAGTTCAAACTGCTCCACAGGAGGGGCGCGGGGGGGGGCAGTTCTTCTGTGCCCTTCCGCTTTACATCCAGGTGAGACTTGATAAAGCACCCAAATAGCCGCTGACATCCTCTTTCATTGTAGATCCATCAGGTTTCCTCAGAATCCCAACAGGAGAAATCAGAGAATCATAAAACCAAAAATCCACATCTTCTCCATCCTCCACTGACAGCGTAGTGAAACACACCAGAAATAGCGTTTAGTTCCAGGTTTTATCCAGCAGCCCAACAAAGCCTGGTTTTAGTTTAGAAAACATGCAAATAGAAACGGATGAACGGGTCCCCCCCTTTGGAATGGGGGTCGTTTGGCTTCTTTGTTAGCCTGCAATGCCCCATACCTGTCTATGTCTCTGAAATGAGGTCGTTAGGTGGAATAGTTGGCCTGGATGAATAGGTGAGGTGTTCTGTTCTTCTGTAAAGGTGTTGGAGCTGCGATCATAGCGGGAAGGAATCAACTCTATCGCTGCATTGGAGGTTTTTGAAAGCTGGAATCTGAGGTCAAGTGTGAGAAAGTTCTTTATGCTGGGGTGGTTCCCCTGGGGGGGGGGGGTTGTGACTTTGTAAGGTATAAATGTATGTGATGAAATGCCTCAGTCAGAGCTCTATCTCTCTCTCTGAGGACGTTAAATAACTTTTAACCGTATTTCTTGCAATCTTTCCTCAGCTTCATAACTTCCCACCGTTTTAAATGGGTTCTGAGAAACGACCATTTAATAGATTTACGGTGAGAATTACTGACGTCACGGTTAGGAAATATTAACGAGCTCCTTATTTCAGACTGAATAGAAAATGTTTTACTGATAGATGAAATATTAACTGCATTTATTAGCAGGTATGTGTCCCAATATATTACTGTCTGGAAGGTTAAGAACTGGACTCATTTATTCAGAGTGACGTTGGGTTGTTGATGCTGAGGTTTTTATGTCTAAGGTTATGTTTATCCAGGTCCAAAGCTCAGAACCAGAGCAGATCTTTGAGCAGAAGGTCTTCCTGGGTTTGCTGCTGCCTTCATGCACTGATCTACCAAAGGTTCTGGGTCCCAGAACCGAATCCAAGACGTTCCGTCACTTCCGTCGCTGCGTGAAGATGGTTCGGTGGGCAGGAACCCGTCTGATTGTGTGCATCACCTCAGAATGAGATGTCAGTCCAGCTGGATGTATCTATGGATGATGAGGTCCACCTAGAAGAACAGAGAGGATGATTAAACAAATGTAAGTTGATCCTTCGTCTCCTTGGAGACTAGGTTTGGGTAAAGAATGAAGAGGCTTCAGAGAGAGGAAGAAAACCTGGATGTTAAAGATGGACGACAGGATCCCTTCCAAACCGCCATGGGACATCACTGGATCAACCTGAAGAAGGTTTGGGAGGATGGAGGGTCCTGAAGGTCTCAGCATGTTCCAGTTGTCACATCTGTTTGTGAGGCTGTGAATGATTCTGTAGGATGTCTGAGCAGAGAACCATTTCCCCCCGTTAGCAGGATTGAATTATGTCAAATCATCAAACGGCTGAGTTTCCTCCTCAGAGTCCTGCTAATGACCTTATGATTGGATTCTGGCGCGTTGAAGCAGAGACACATCTGAGCCGTGCAGGACACCGGACCTCTGAGACTGGAATTAAACGACCCTGATGGCTCCACATCTGATGAGCTTGGTTCACTGCCCACCAGTCCGTTCCACAACGCCAGGGTTGGAATCATCCGCTTGGTTAAAGGAAAAGTCGCTCATATTCATCAAACATCTGAAAGTTCTTTAAATCTGAAATGATTCCATCCTGTTCAATAAATGATCAGTGTTTTTAATTCAGAGTCATTTCCATGTGAATGTGCTTTACTGGAGGCATCCATGTTTGTCAAAGAACACTACTGCCACCTACTGGTTAGTGACATTGTCACGGTGCGGTATCGGCTGTTGATCAAGTCCCAGTGCTGTATCTGGTGTTTGTCACAACGCGCTATTATCCAAGTCATCTTGAAAACATTCTTCTTCCAAATGTTGGCTACATATTACGGGTTTTTTCTCTGGCCAGAAGTTCGATGGCAAATCCTCCCTCTTCAAGTTGGCGATCCAACGACCAACCCGTCCGTGGAGGATCAGGAATCAGAAAGGTGGAATAACTCTTTTTTCCACTTTTACCCGATGTATTCCAGCATCCAGCTGCCATGCACGTGGGCATTGTCAGTTTCACTATAGCTCTGGTGAATTTCAATGGTGAAGTCCTCTGGAAATCTTCAATAATTGTTGTTGATTGCAGATGTGTCTAGTAGTTCCCTTGATTTAGCTTGGAAAGCGGGGATAATGGCGCTAGGCTTACCGCACCGTGACGTCACTGCTGGAAGATGGCAGGAGGGAGGGGCTACTATGTTTAGACAAAAATTCTTCATAGATACACACATCAATTTCAAACAGATGATATCGGCTGATGATGCACAGTCAGGTATCAGGGCCAAAAAATAGCATCGGCGAAACACTAGTTTTAGGTATAAATAATGATCCATGGATTATTAAAGCTGACCAAACTTCTCCTTTAACAACCAGCACTACCTCACTGATGTCCAAATATCTGCCATCCTCCAACTCATCCCGCCCTGACTGTTAGTTAAAACCTCAGATCTCTGTTTATTCCCTGATTGCTGATTGCCTGTTGGTAGTACGGGAATCCACCGGCCGCCATATTGGTACTCCCTAGTTAGACCGGTCTCCACGTAAACAATCGGTGCGCTGCAGCATCGAACAACAATGATTTTCTCATTTTCAGGGACTTAAGACTTTTAAAATAAAGATAAATTCCTCACTTTGAGACTGGTTGTTTTATAGCATCAGTAGATTCCTCTGTGTCAGTAGGCCCATCACATTACCGAGTCATTATAACGTCAAAGTCTATAAATTATGTAATATAACATATTATACAAATCCATCATAATAAAATTAATGTGTTAATGGAGCAGAATAATACAGATGAGCCAAAAGGGCTAAATTGATGATGTTCATGAATATACATGGATTTGTTACATTGTTATGGTAATAACATCTTGCATGTCTGGTAATGCATGCTATTATATATATATTTATATATATTATCAACAAAAAGCAGTTGCTTTTTTCTGTCAATATAACATGCGATATATTTCAGCTCATGACTTTTTCAAATGAGAAATACAAAAAACAGCTAAAACGACAACATCATCTATTTAATAAAGAATTCATACATTAACATTTCACAGTGAATTACTTTGTTTACTTTCTATTTTCTAACATTAGACCCAGTGTCAGTGGCTAACTCAGTCAATGTCAGTGGCTAACTCAGTCAATGTCAGTGGCTAACAGTCAATGTCAGTGGCTAACAGTCAATGTCAGTGGCGACTCAGTCAATGTCAGTGGCTAACTCAGTCAGTGTCAGTGGCTAACAGTCAATGTCAGTGGCGACTCAGTCAATGTCAGTGGCTAACTCAGTCAGTGTCAGTGGCTAACAGTCAATGTCAGTGGCTAACTCAGTCAATGTCAGTGGCTAACTCAGTCAATGTCAGTGGCTAACTCAATCAGTGTCAGTGGCTAACAGTAAATGTCAGTGGCGACTCAGTCAATGTCAGTGGCTAACAGTCAATGTCAGTGGCTAAAAGTCAATGTCAGTGGCTAACAGTAAATGTCAGTGGCGACTCAGTCAGTGTCAGTGGCTAACAGTCAATGTCAGTGGCTAACTCAGTCAATGTCAGTGGCTAACTCAGTCAATGTCAGTGGCTAACTCAGTCAGTGTCAGTGGCTAACAGTAAATGTCAGTGGCGACTCAGTCAATGTCAGTGGCTAACTCAGTCAGTGTCAGTGGCTAACTCAGTCAATGTCAGTGGCTAACTCAGTCAATGTCAGTGGCTAACTCAGTCAGTGTCAGTGGCTAACTCAGTCAATGTCAGTGGCTAACTCAGTCAATGTCAGTGGCTAACAGTCAATGTCAGTGGCTAAAAGTCAATGTCAGTGGCTAACTCAGTCAGTGTCAGTGGCTAACTCAGTCAGTGTCAGTGGCTAACTCAGTCAATGTCAGTGGCTAAAAGTCAGTGTCAGTGGCTAACTCAGTCAATGTCAGTGGCTAACTCAGTCAGTGTCAGTGGCTAACTCAGTCAGTGTCAGTGGGTAACTCAGTCAATGTCAGTGGCTAACTCAGTCAATGTCAGTGGCGACTCAGTCAGTGTCAGTGGCTAACTCAGTCAATGTCAGTGGCTAACTCAGTCAATGTCAGTGGCTAACTCAGTCAGTGTCAGTGGCTAACAGTAAATGTCAGTGGCGACTCAGTCAATGTCAGTGGCTAACTCAGTCAGTGTCAGTGGCTAACAGTAAATGTCAGTGGCTAACTCAGTCAATGTCAGTGGCTAACTCAGTCAGTGTCAGTGGCTAACTCAGTCAATGTCAGTGGCTAACTCAGTCAATGTCAGTGGCTAACTCAGTCAGTGTCAGTGGCTAACAGTAAATGTCAGTGGCTAACTCAGTCAGTGTCAGTGGCTAACAGTAAATGTCAGTGGCGACTCAGTCAATGTCAGTGGCTAACTCAGTCAGTGTCAGTGGCTAACAGTAAATGTCAGTGGCTAACTCAGTCAGTGTCAGTGGCTAACTCAGTCAGTGTCAGTGGGTAACTCAGTCAGTGTCAGTGGCTAACTCAGTCAGTGTCAGTGACTAACAGTCAATGTCAGTGGCGACTCAGTCAATGTCAGTGGCTAACTCAGTCAGTGTCAGTGGCTAACTCAGTCAATGTCAGTGGCTAACTCAGTCAGTGTCAGTGGCTAACTCAGTCAATGTCAGTGGCTAACTCAGTCAATGTCAGTGGCTAACAGTCAATGTCAGTGGCTAAAAGTCAATGTCAGTGGCTAACTCAGTCAATGTCAGTGGCTAACTCAGTCAGTGTCAGTGGCTAACTCAGTCAGTGTCAGTGGGTAACTCAGTCAATGTCAGTGGCTAACTCAGTCAATGTCAGTGGCTAACTCAGTCAATGTCAGTGGCTAACTCAGTCAATGTCAGTGGCTAACTCAGTCAATGTCAGTGGCTAACTCAGTCAATGTCAGTGGCTAACTCAGTCAGTGTCAGTGGCTAACTCAGTCAATGTCAGTGGCTAACTCAGTCAATGTCAGTGGCTAACTCAGTCAGTGTCAGTGGCTAACTCAGTCAATGTCAGTGGCTAACTCAGTCAGTGTCAGTGGCTAACTCAGTCAGTGTTAGTGGCTAACTCAGTCAATGTCAGTGGCTAACTCAGTCAGTGTCAGTGGCTAACTCAGTCAGTGTCAGTGGCTAACTCAGTCAATGTCAGTGGCTAACTCAGTCAATGTCAGTGGCTAACTCAGTCAATGTCAGTGGCTAACTCAGTCAGTGTCAGTGGCTAAAAGTCAATGTCAGTGGCGACTCAGTCAATGTCAGTGGCTAACTCAGTCAGTGTCAGTGGCTAACTCAGTCAGTGTCAGTGGCTAACTCAGTCAATGTCAGTGGCTAACTCAGTCAATGTCAGTGGCTAACTCAGTCAGTATCAGTGGCTAACAGTCAATGTCAGTGGCGACTCAGTCAATGTCAGTGGCTAACTCTGTCAGTGGCTAACTCAGTCATTGTCAGTGGCTAACAGTCAATGTCAGTGGCGACTCAGTCAGTGTCAGTGGCTAACTCAGTCAGTGTCAGTGGCTAACTCAGTCAATGTCAGTGGCTAACTCAGTCAGTGTCAGTGGCTAACAGTCAATGTCAGTGGCGACTCAGTCAGTGTCAGTGGCTAACTCAGTCAATGTCAGTGGCTAACTCAGTCAATGTCAGTGGCTAACTCAGTCAGTGTCAGTGGCTAACTCAGTCAATGTCAGTGGCTAACTCAGTCAATGTCAGTGGCTAACTCAGTCAGTGTCAGTGGCGACTCAGTCAATGTCAGTGGCTAACTCAGTCAATGTCAGTGGCTAACTCAGTCAATGTCAGTGGCGACTCAGTCAATGTAAGTGGCTAACTCAGTCAATGTCAGTGGCGACTCAGTCAGTGTCAGTGGCTAACTCAGTCAATGTCAGTGGCTAACTCAGTCAATGTCAGTGGCTAACTCAGTCAGTGTCAGTGGCTAACAGTAAATGTCAGTGGCGACTCAGTCAATGTCAGTGGCTAACTCAGTCAGTGTCAGTGGCTAACAGTAAATGTCAGTGGCTAACTCAGTCAATGTCAGTGGCTAACTCAGTCAGTGTCAGTGACTAACAGTCAATGTCAGTGGCTAACTCAGTCAGTGTCAGTGGCTAACTCAGTCAGTGTCAGTGGCTAACTCAGTCAGTGTCAGTGGCTAACTCAGTCAATGTCAGTGGCTAACTCAGTCAGTGTCAGTGGCTAACTCAGTCAATGTCAGTGGCTAACTCAGTCAATGTCAGTGGCTAACTCAGTCAGTGTCAGTGGCTAACAGTCAATGTCAGTGGCGACTCAGTCAATGTCAGTGGCTAACTCAGGCAGTGTCAGTGGCTAACTCAGTCACTGTCAGTGGCTAACAGTCAATGTCAGTGGCTAACTCAGTCAATGTCAGTGGCTAACTCAGTCAATGTCAGTGGCTTACTCAGTCAGTGTCAGTGGCTAACAGTCAATGTCAGTGGCGACTCAGTCAATGTCAGTGGCCAACTCAGTGTCAGTGGCTAACTCAGTCAGTGTCAGTGGCTAACAGTCAATGTCAGTGGCGACTCAGTCAATGTCAGTGGCTTACTCAGTCAGTGTCAGTGGCTAACTCAGTCAGTGTCAGTGAATAACTCAGTCAATGTCAGTGGCTAACTCAGTCAGTGTCAGTGGCTAACTCAGTCAGTGTCAGTGGCTAACTCAGTCAGTGTCA